GCTGCCGGCATGGAACTCAGGGTCCTTAACCGCTGAGGCACATCCCCACGCACTGCCTGTCCCCCACCTCCGTGTTTTTTGTAGTGGGGATTGAACCCAGGGACACTTTACTCAACTACATACATCCCCAGCGCTTTTCCTTTTTTCTTTTGAGACATGGTATCAGTAAGTTGGTGCAGCTGGCTTTGAACTTGAGATCCTCCTTTCTCTCAGCCTCCGGAGGCCCTCAGATGTATCTTGCTTTCATTGATTACCTCTGCCCTTGAGCGTTTTTCTTAAGTGATCCTTCATTTTTCTGAAATTGTTTCTCTGTCTCTTTGTCCAATGCCGCAGTCTGGCTGGGCACAATTCAGAAGCCACTTGTCAAAGGAAACAAACTTTATTTTTAGAACCACACACGCCAAACCACACAGCTCTTCAGGAAAACCTTCAAAGCCCAACTGCCACCACGGGCTTCCCACAAGCTCTCAACCTCCCCCACTCCCCCAGCTCTTGAGGCCTATTGGCTGGGTCGCGTGGGCGGAGCCAAAAAGTCCCCCAATAAGCAGTTCCTTGGTCTGAAAGGACGGGAAAACAGCCCAATGAGCGTCATCTCAGAGGAGCCAATCAGTTGGCAGCTAGAAGTTTGCTGGGGCCCCTTGGACTGTGGCTCTCAACAGTCCAACTTTTTGTTGTGTTTCAGTGGTGTTGTTTTTAATTTGACATTGATTTTTTTTTATACTTGATATATAGAAAAATCATGGATTTTTTTGCATATTAAGGTCCTGTGTGTTAATTGCAGGAGTTTTTGTTGGTTCTTTGAGATTTTGTAGGTAGGCAATAATGGCACGTGTGAGAAGTCATTTTCTATTTGTTTCATCTAAGTCTCAATGCCTATCATTATTATTTCTTATGGTTTCTCTGTACCTATTGGTTTGATCTTAAGAGTTTTTGTTGTTTATCTTGTTGAGATGATCAATTACATGAGTTGACTTTTTAATGTTTGGTCATTCTTTATAGTAGGGGCTGGGGTTGTGGCTCAGTGGTAGATGTTTTCCTAGCATGTGTGAGGCACTGGTTCAATTCTCAGCCTCATGTACAAATATATAAAATAAGGTCTATTGACAACAAAATATTTTTAAAAAATACTTGTAAGAATTTCTACTTGGATTTTGTTGGATTGTTGTGTTTAAATAAGGTTAGATGTAATATACCATTATTTGTTGTGGGCTTTTTTCTTATTTATTTATATATTTATTTTTGCAGTGCTGGGGATCAAAGTTAGGGCCTCATCTGTCTAGGCAGGTGCTTTACTGCTGAGCTATCCCCAGACCCTGTTGAAGATTTTTTCATCCTTATTCATAAAATCTCTTTGTCTTCTCTCTCCTTCTCTGTACTGGGATTGAAACCCAGGGAACTCTCACTGAGATACATCCCCAGTTCTTTCTTTCTTTCTTTAGAGAACCTCAGTCATTCCTTTATCTATCTATATATCTATTTATTTTGTTTCTTATAATGTCTATCTAGTTTAGTATCATGGCCCTATAGGACTCATACATTATTAAGAAGTACTTTAACATCTATTACCTGGAGAAATTGTGATGATTGGTGTTATTAAATGTGAGAATTAGCCAAAGAGACCAGTGAGCCTGCTTTTCCCTGTTGTTGAGTTGCTATTGTTTCTGTAATACATAGTGGTTTATTTACATTGATTATCTTTCCTCAGTGAGATAGTGTGGGTTGTTTCTTTCCAGAAACTGGTTGATTTCTTCCAAATTATTTTTCTGTGCTTTACTTAAAATTATCTTGCTCTGGTTTGGCAGTTATTCAATGTGGTACATTAAACTGTTGAGTTAAGGTCTTTCTTCTTTTCTAATACATGCATTCATTGTTTTAAGTTTCTCCCTATGCATTGCTTTTTCTGTATCCCACAAGTGATGTTAACATGTTGGTTCATGTTCACATATTTCAAAATACTTAAATTTATTTGGTATTGTTTCTTTCAATGCCTGTGCCACTCAGCCATGGAGTGTGCAGTTTCTTGGACATTTTCCAGCTATGTTTATGCTTTTGATGTCTGATTTCATTTCAGTATGGTCTTTCAGTATGGAAAGTGAGCAACTGACTATGATTTCTTGCTGCGGCCCATGAAACTTCAACAAAGGATCTTGAGTACTGGGGACTGGAGATGGAGAGAAAAAAACAGACACATTTTTAAGCAATGCTGGGGCCAGGTGGGACACTGCCTTCTGATGGAGGAACAGTGACCCAGAACTAGCTCTGCAAATTTATTATATAGGGACTCCTAATCAGAAAGTTTAACTATTGGGGCATTGTAAAGTGTTCAAATTCAAAGCTTGTGAGTTATTAAGAGGCTTCTTTGTGTGCTAAAAAGTTACAGAGCTAGAAACTGCTGTACCCAGAAAAAGCATTGTACTGGAACATTTGATAACTGAAGTCTGTGAAGTCAGAGCCGAGTGTCAAGACTGTTCACATCCTCGCCTTTGGCAAGGAATATTTTCCAGGCTTGGCCTTTGCCACAATGCAGGATCAGCTGATGACTATGGGCTCATCTGCTCCCCACAATTTGTGTTCCTTTAGGTTTGTTCCTTTAGGTGTGTCTTGTAGCTCAGAACAAGACAGAATTGGTAAAGATTCTGTATTGTGGTACAGCAAATGGGAACTTTGGCAGTTTAAGAGCTGTCAGGCTGTGGTTTTTGCCTGTGGACACACAGAAACTCAGCTTACTGACATTTAAACATAGAGGCTTGTGGTGGCTAACAGGTACCTGTAAATGATAACTACAGTGGCAGAAACAATAAACCAAGCAACAGAGACAGAACAATCCTACTTTAGGCTTGGTGTAGTAAAAGTCCCTAAGTTGTAGAAGCTAAGAGTCCTTGGGCAGTTGACAAGCTTGCATCCATATAAGAAATGTAGAATGTGGGCTAGTGCTGTAGCTCAGTGGCAGAGAACTTGCCTAGCATGCCATCCCAGCACCACATAAAAAGAAACAAATAAAATAAAGGCATTCTGTCCATCTACAATTTCAAAAAAAATTTTTTTAAATGTAGAATGCACCTTCCAATAGAAATTGCACCAACTCCCTTGCCTTGATGTACCCCAAACATGCTTATATAAAGTAATGGCCCTGCTGTGCTCAGTGCTTAGACTTTGGGATTTATCTCTCTGGGCTGTGACACCATGAATAAAGTATTGCTTTCAGATATTGGTGTCCTGACCCTCATTAATAGCTTGTTTTCTGCCAGTCTTTCTGCAGAACATTTACATTTAAGGTAATTACTTAAATTACTTAAATGTAATTATTAAATGTTTCCTTGGGGCTGGGGTTGTGGCTCAGTGGTAGAACGCTTGCCTAGCACATGCGAGGCCCTGGGTTTGATCCTCAGCACTACATAAAAATAAATAAAATAAAGGTATTGTGTCCAACTACAACTAAAAAATAAAAAAGAAAATAGAGTGTTTCCTAATTTAAAAGAACAATAAAATTATCACTCTCTTATTCCAACAAATTTAAATATTGTTAGAGGTTTATTATGCCCAGAGGCTTTCATAAATTAGTTTTTTGCCTTTGTTTTCTTCCTTTTTTTTTTCTTGTTGGTTTGAGTTGATGCCAAAGGCCCTAAATCACTGAGCCACATCCTAAGCCCTTTTTAAAACTTTTATTTTTTTTTTATTTTTTTGTGGTGCTGAGATTGAACCCAGGGCCTTGTGCATGCAAGGCAAGCCTTCTACCAACTGAGCTATATCCCCAGCCCCAAAATTTCTTTCTTTTTTTTTTTTTTGGTACCAGGGATTGAACTCAGGGGCACTTGGCCACTGAGTCACATCCCTAGCCCAATTTTTGTATTTTATTTAGAGACAGGGTCTCACTGAGTTGCTTAGTGCCTTGCCATTGCTGAAGCTGGCTTTGAACTCGTGATCCTCCTGTCTCAGCCTCCTGAGCCACTGGGATTACAGGCATGCTCCACCGAACCCGGCCCAAAATTTATTCCTTTATCTTATTTTTTTAAATATTTTGAGACAGGGTCTCACTACATACAAGTCAATGGGATTATGGGAGTGTGCCACTGTACCAGGCATGACCTAGTTTTTGTTTTCCTAGGAAAAGGACTTGTTTTTGGCATTTTTGCAATTTTTATAGGTCCTGTGAGAGGTGAAACCTTGGTGACACTGAAATCTTTCTAAGAACATGTACCACTTTTCCCCTTATTTTATTCAGCTTTGACATTCTCCAACAAAAACCTTAATGATTACCTATGAGTATACTGAGTTATCCTTCATGAGTCTTATTTACTATTATATTCTTGTGGATGTACAGAAACTAACATACAGGCTTCCAGTTGTGGTCCCTTAGTGCAACCCCAAAGGATGTGCTTAATTCTTTAAATAAGGAGTTGTAAAAAGAGGTTTTGTTTTGTTTTGTGATGCTGGGGATTGAACCCAGGGCTTTGTGCATGCAAGGCAAGCATTCTACCGGCTGAGCTATATCCCTAGCCAAAAAAAGAGTTTTAAAATCTGATCCAGTTCACTAAAGATTCATCACCCAGGCGTGTTTCAGGGGATAATGAGATAGGCAACATCTAAAGAGCATGTCAAAGTCTCACAAACATGTAGAGGAGCAACAGGATTTAAACAGGCTGAATTTTGTTGGGATAACCTGCATGGGAACACAATTCCCTCTTTACAGTTATGCTGGTGAGGATCATACTAACAGTAGTTCCCAGATATCAACAAAGATCAAAGTTTTTCCTCAAGTATTTCTAAGAATATGCTGTCTCATAATAGCTACTGATATTACGTTTAGTACATGTTGGACTTTGTGGTGAGAAGGGCTAGAGATGAGTGTACAAAGAGAACTGGAGTGACCCAGAAGCACAGCCAGAGTTCCTGTTCTTTCTGTTACTCTAACAAGTAGATATGATCCAGCATCAGAATTGATGTGAGAGGATGTGAGCCTGGCTGGAGAGTTAAGAGTGTGACACCCAGGTGTTGGAGTATTGGGAGACACAGTACCATATTAGATTCTCACAACCTGAGTGTAGGTCTGCAGTATGTCTCATTTTCCTCCTTGGAATACCTGTGGGATGTTTTAGGAGTTGGTGACCTTTGAGGATGTGGCTGTGAACTTCACCCTGGAGGAGTGGGCTCTGCTAGATCCTTCCCAGAAGAAGCTCTTCAAAGATGTGATGCAAGAAACCTTCTGGAACCTGACCACTATAGGTAAGGGTGACATTTTTTTTCCCTCATTTTGTCAATCAGAGAATGGTTGTTACTTGCCTATCAGTTCTGTTCCATGATCTGGAATATGGAAGGTTCACATTCTGATGACTATACTGGCATGATGACATTATTCAACAGATCTACAAGACACTGATAATTTTTATGTAATATTGAACTGACAATGATGTTTCTGGGTCTGCATTTTAGGAAAAAACTGGAAAAATCAGGCCATCGATGATCACTATATTTCCTGGAGAAATCTACGGTAATTGAACTCACAAGATAAGGCAATGTACCTCATAAATCTTGGAGTAATGTATAAAAAAGTCATGAAGAGAAGGAAAATATACATGCCATGATTTAATCTGTTGTTTTTTTTTTAAAAACAATACATACAGTTTGAGTTGGAAAGTTCAAGATCCAAAATGTTCCAGTATAGGAACCATTTGATGTCTTAAGTGACACTTTCTGATAATTTATTATATATATTATATACTGTGTTCCATACACAAATTACTGGATATGTATGAAATTGCCCTCAAGTGGGACCCATTTTGAAGGTATCTTACTGTGTATATGCAAATATCACAAAATCCAATCTGAATTTTGTCCCATGCATTTCACATAAATAGTATTCTTTTGTAATTTGATAAACATCTTCAGGATTAAAAAAATACATTACTTGGAAGGAGTATTTAGAACCCCAAGCTAAGTGGTAGTGCATACCTGTAAATCCAGCGATTGGGAGACTGAGGCAGGAGGATCACAAGTGGGAGGCCAGCACCTTAGTAAACCCCTGAACAACTTACTGAGAGGCTGTTTCAAAATATGAAAAATAACTTTAACAGGACTGGAATGTAGCTCAATAAAACGCAACATAAAATCTGTTGTTCTGGTAGATCATTAATAAGTAAATCCTTAGTAATGTAGTTTCTGTTCTTTGCAGAATTCAAGTGATTGAGAGACTCTGGGAACAGAAAGAAGATAATCAATATGGAGAAATATTCAGCCAGATCTTAGATCCTCTTATAAACAAGAGAAGTTCTTCTGGAGTAAAACCAAGTGAACACCATGTGTGTGGAGATGTCCTCGTTGCAGATTCATCCCTAGCCATGCCCCAGACAGCTCATATTAGACACAAAGCACATGAGTATCTGGAACATGGAGGGAAGCCATATGAATATAAGGAACATGGGAAAGCCTTCCATGATCCCCAAGGTTTTCAGAAGCATGAAAGAACTCTCACAGCAGAGAAACCCCATGTGTGTAAGCACTGTGGAAAAGCCTTTAGTTCTTCTAGGTACATTAAAGTTCATGAACGAATTCACAGTGGAGAGAAACCTTATAAATGCAAACAATGTGGCAAAGCCTTTCGTTTTCCCAGTTCCCTTAAAATTCATGAACAGATTCACAGTGGAAAGAAACCCTATGTGTGTAAGCAATGTGGAAAAGCCTTTAGCACTTCCAGATACATGAAAACACATGAAAAAATTCACAGTGGAAAGAAACCCTGTGTATGTAAACACTGTGGAAAAGCCTTTAGTTCTTCCTATTATATTAAAATCCATGAACGAATTCACAGTGGAGAGAAACCCTGTGTGTGTAAGCAATGTGGAAAAGCCTTTAGTTCTTCCTATCGCCTTAAAATCCATGAACAAGTTCATCGTGGAGAGAAACCCTGTGTATGTAAACAATGTGGAAAAGCCTTTAGTTCTTCCTATTACATAAAAATCCATGAACAAATTCACAGTGGAGAGAAACCCTATGTTTGTAAACAATGTGGGAAAGCTTTTCATTTATATAGATCCCTTCAAAGACATGAAATAACGCACACTAGAAGGAAACCCTATGTATGTAAGCAATGTGGGAAACAATTTATTTCCTCCAGCTCCATTAGAAAACATGAACGAATTCACAGTGGAGAGAAGCCTTATACATGTAAACAATGTGGGAAAGCCTTTCCTTTTCTCAGTTCTCTTCAAATGCATGAACAAATTCACAGTGGAATAAAACCATATGTATGTAAGCAATGTGGAAAAGGCTTTAATTCTTCTAACCATATGAAAACACATGAACGCATTCATAGTGAAGAGAAACCTTATACATGTAAACAATGTGGGAAAGCTTTTCATTTCCCCAGATCCCTTCAAATACATGAAATAACCCACAATGGAGAGAAACCCTTTGTATGTAAGCAGTGTGGAAAGGGCTTTAGTTCTTCCAGCTCCATTAGAAAACATGAACAGATTCACAGTAGAGAGAAGCCCTGTGTATGTAGGCAATGTGGAAAAGCCTTTAGTTCTTTCTATTACATTAAAATCCATGAACGAATTCACAGTGGAGAGAAACCTTATAAATGCAATCAATGTGGGAAAGCCTTTCATTTTCCAAATTCCCTTCAAATTCATGAACAAATTCATAGCGGAAAGAAACCCTTTGTGTGTAAGAAATGTGGAAAAGCCTTTAGTTCTTCCAGCTCCATTAGAAAACATGAACGACTTCACAGTGGAGAGAAACCCTATATATGTAAGCAATGTGGAAAAAGCTTTAGTACTTCTAGATGCATGAAAACACATGAACAGATCCACAGTGGAGAAAAACCCTGTGTATGTAAACAATGTGGAAAAGCCTTTAGTTCTACCTATTATATTAAAATCCATGAACGAATTCACAGTGGAGAGAAACCTTATGAATGCAAGCAATGTGGAAAAGCCTTTTGTTTTCCCAATTCCCTTCAAATTCATGAACAAATTCATAGTGGAAAGAAACCCTACATATGTAAACAATGTGGAAAAACCTTTAGTTCTTCCAGCTCCATTAGAAAGCATGAACGGATTCATAGGGGATAGAAACCCTATATGGGTAAACAATGGGAAACCTTTCAGTCGTTCTGATGCAATCAAAAGATCTGAGAAAACACTGGAGATAAACCCTATATGTGTAAGCAATGTGAAATAGGCTTTAATTCTTCAAGCCCCATCAAAGCACATGAATGAATTCACAGGGAAGAGAAGTTCTGTACATGTAAACAGTGTGGGAAAGCTTTCATTCAGTCCTGTACAATCAGAAGACGTGAAATGTACACCGGAGAAAAATCCTGTGTATGAAAACAATGTGGCAAAGCCTACAGTTATCCCTGTCCCCTCAAACAATATTAAAGAATTCACGGTGAAATGAAAACATGGCATGAAAGCAGTGTGGGAAATCCTCCAGTGATTCCTCCACACTTAAAATACATGAAGGAATACATGAAGGAATGCACACTGGAGAGAAACTCTGTGTGTGTGAAGAAAGCAGCAAAGCCTTTACTTCATTGGGTTACCTTCTCAAACATCAAGGATTCACTTTTGAGAGAAACTCCATGAGTGTAAACAAAGTGAGCAAGCTTTCACTGCTTACAGTTCTTTTTGTTGTGTTGTGTGTATGTGGTGCTGGGGATTGAACCCAAGGCCTTGTATATGCAAGGCAAGCACTCTACCAACTGAGCTATATCCCCAGCCCCTCACAGTTCCCTTTGATACCATGAAACAATTCACACAGAGGAGAAACCTTAATGATGTCAGCAATGTAAAACCGTCTTTTTCTCAGATTGCTTCAACTACATGGAAGAACACACTGGAGAGTAACTGTGAATACAGAAAAGTGGGAAGTCTTTATTATCACAGAAACTTTGTTGCAAACATGAGAATACAGGTGCAATAACTTTTATTATTGCAAAGGATATGGGAATGCTTGTCCTCTTGGTTCAGGATACTCCTATAAATGAACACAGTATGCAGTGGAACCTGCAATAGAAGACATATTCAATGATCTACATTTGGTTCACATGTAAGAAATCACAGTGGATTAAAACCCTGTGGATGTGAAATATTCTCAGAAGAGAGTTCTCCTGTTGTAAGATAGTTTCAGAGGCCTATGAAAATTCCTCATGTAGCAGAATTCTATATGTGCAATTGATATGAAGAACTTGGTACAAAATAATTAGTTTAGAAGTCTCCAGAAACTCTACTACCTAGAGATTTCCCAAAACTTATATTATTTTCACCAGTAATTCATTCTTAATCTCTGCATTGTGTGTTTCTAATTTGGATTCTTTGAAATAAAGATTGAGGTGAAACATTTCTGAGTTTTGTTTAGATAGGCTGTATTATCTGAGTTCAATAGGTACTATATTTTAAATCAAATCTGGTAGTATGTCTTCTAACATTTTGAAGCATGTTGGCCCTAAAGCAATTTGATGTGTATTTCTAATATGCCATTAGGCTTCATTTATATGTAGTTTTTTTTTGGGGGGGGTGCAAATGTAATAGTATCTTTTTTATTATTTATTCCAATTTGTTATACATGATGGCAGAATGTAATTCATTTTATATTACAATTTGTAGTTTTATATATACAGGTACATGTATACATGTGTATGTTTCTTCTCAGGGGAAAATGACATTTTTACATGGATTTTATATTTTTCACAGTTTGATGGCATATTTTTTCTATAATATTGGCACATAATGATTACACATAATGGTGAAATTCATTTTTACATATTTGTATATGCCCATGATACAGCGATAGATGTATATTTTCTTCAAAACAGTTTTTGTTCATGCGTTTTTAGATTTAAGAAATGTTTGAAACAAAATGAGGATTAATATACATTAGCTTTTTCTTTAAGAAATTTTTTGGATAAATATTGATAATACTGTGATAGAGTTCTTTTGTGATACAGATCTGAGAAGAATGAAATTCATTTTCAGTGGGTAGTAATTCTCTTCAATTGTAATTTCAACTTAGACTTCCCTATTGAATTAATTACAGCTATCATCTATACAATATTTCTTACAGTTTAAGGGCAGGAAAATCAGATTGCTGTGTCAGTCCTAGAGACTAATTTATGACTCAATGAGACACCCCCCCCCCTTTTTTTTTTTTTGCAGTACTGCTTGCAGTTCTGCATTTGAACCCAAGGCCTCACACTTTCTAAGTTTTCTAAGTACATCCTCTACAATTGAGGTATATCCCCAGCCCCACTTTTTTTTTTTTTTTTTTTTTTTTAGTATTTATTTTTTAGTTCTCAGCGGACACAACATCTTTGTTTGTATGTGGTGCTGAGGATCGAACCCGGGCCGCACGCATGCCAGGCGAGCGCGCTACCGCTTGAGCCACATCCCCAGCCCCACTTATTTTGATAAAGGGTCTCAATTGCCCAGGCTAATGTCTAGTTTGCAATCCTCCTGCCTTAGCCTCCCAGGAAACACTGAGCCAACCCTAGCCCAAAACAGGTTCTTTCTAAAGCTCAGGGACTTGTCTGCCACAGCCTTGGAGATTCCTAACTTACATGAGCCATTCACCTGGCATGTAGCTGAGAGACAAGGTGTGGCATGAGTCTTCACTCAAAAACTGAGGTATATTCCTCAGTCTGTGGCTTACTTTTCTAAACAGTTGGATTCCATGTCCTGTGCATGGCCTGGATACCTAGGGGCTTAGTGGCCACAGCCCTTTTGGTAGAGGAGGCCACCAAGGATACTTACTAGCCACCAGGCTCAGTGTCCTTGAAGTTAAAAGACATCAATATCAGCCAGCAGAAGATGTCTGGGGGATTAAGGAGGGAGATCAATGGCTAACTGGAGGGTGACTGACCAAGCCCCAATCCTCATACTGTAATCCCCTGAAGTCATTCCTAAAATTTGCCCAACTCTAAACCTGGCAACCATGCTTCCTAAAAGCTCATAGAAGGGAACACACACACACACACACACACACAAAGAATGGACCAGTGATGCTCTATTCAGTACTAGAGGGGCACAACTTCAGGGAAAATTGTGGTGGGCCACCATGAGAGTCTGGCTTTTATATGGCCTTAGCAGAGCCAGGTATGGGAAGAGTTAGGTACTTTTGGTGGGCATTCTTGGTGGGAGGGGCCACCAGGACAGGGAAGGAGGGCAGATAGAGGAAGGAGGTTCATTGGGGGCCCATTGTCCATGTCATTCATTCCAGGTTCTTAGGACATACTGCATTGGAGCGATGTCATATACAGTTCTGGTAGTTGTGGCTGGCTTGAGTGGCTGTAGAGAGGGAATTTCAGCATCATCATGGGTGATTCCTTCCTTACGGGACTCAAGAGAATGATTTATTATGGGGCTCAGGAGAGTCACATTGTAAATGAAGTAGAATGGCTTTTGAATGTTCTTTCAAGGTGGGCTAGATAGGTCACCTTGTCAAGAAGTTGCTTCTGTATAAAGTAAACAAAGCAGAAGGGAAAGGTCATTGCCAGAAAGACCAGCATTAGAGAAGTTGAAAGATGGGAGAAGCCAGGAAGTCCTGTGTTTTAAGAACTAATTCTCATCTCTGTTGTTCCACTTGGACCTGTAGTTGTTTAAACATAACCCCTAACAGTCCCAAGTGATTGACATAGAAGCTACATTTTTCCCCTAGAAAGAGGCACAGGAGATCTAGGCCCTGATGATTTTGCTGGATGACAGATGCCAGTACCAAATTGGTGACCTGTTGGATATCTTCAATAAACTGTACAGACAATTTTTGTAGTAGTAAATAGAGTTCCTAATCCTGCTGCTCCTGTGGCAATCCTAGTGGATATCTCTATCCCTATGAGTAAAGGAATAAATGGAATGGCTCTCTTGTAGCCAGTGTGTGCCTTTATCAGGATATGCAATCTTTGATTGTCATATAAAATGTCAATTTGAGGAGTAAGGAAGACCAAGGCACAGAGGCCAATTCAATTTTTGGCAGGCAGGGGTAAATATGAGCCTTGCAAAGGAAAAATTTCTCAAAATTTGGGGGCATCAGTGTTGTGGAACTGACATAAGTGTATGACTTAATGTTATAGTTAAAGCAACGTCCCCAGGTTTCATAAATTGACTTCCAGACCACTCATATATAATCGAATCAAGCTTTTATTGAAGCACACTGGTGGCGGCTGACCAGAACATACAGCTGTTCCCCTGATTAGTCCCAAACAATTGTAAGGGCACCCCTTATAAGCCTGAAAGCCACAAAAGGGATGTTTGGGGGTCCAGCCAATGCAAGCCAGCCAAGTAACAGAAGCAGGAAAGTGCAGTCAGGTGGCGGGACACTTAGCCAATCACAATTAGCCCAGTCACCCCAGTTCCAGAAACAGCCCCGTTACCCTAGTTACAGAAACAATGCCCCATTAAGTAGTTCCGTGTTCTTAAGGGTTTCTATAGCAAAAGGAAAAGAACAACTTGCCCCATTCATGACCTTCTACTTGGCATGGCTGTTTTACAGAATGGAGTCACTTTGGCTTGACTATCACATTAGTTCTATTAAAAGAACTATTGCTGGGGCTGGGGATATGGCTCAAGCGGTAGCGCGTTCGCCTGGCATGCGTGCGGCCCGGGTACGATCCTCAGCACCACATATAAACAGCACCACATATAAACAAAGATGTTGTGTCCACCAAAAACTAAAAAATAAATATTAAAATTCTCTCTCTCTCTTTAAAAAAATAAAAGAACTATTGCCTTTTCTTTGAAATGCCCAGGTATGGCTGTTCTGGTTATAACTGTTTTGCTAGGTATTGAAGACCAAGCTGGTCAAATTGACCTTGTGCCTCTCTATTGTTAAGAGTCAGCTGAGTTCCACAGGGGTGACTCTTGGGGAACTTGAAAGCAGCCTCTTAGCTCCTTTAGTGCCATCTGCTAGGATGGATTAAGGTCTCCTTGATGATGTGGCTTCCTTGGAAGCATTAGGGATTATGCCTTTTCTAATGACCTAGCTCTTTTGCAGCATGTGCACTGGTTGCACTGGGCTTTTTGTTCTCCAGGATCTCAATGATCCTCCTGATCCGGAGGTCATGTGATCCAGAGTTAGAAAGCTCTTAGAGAAGTCATCTTATCCCTTGGGTTCAATCCTCAGCACCACATAAAAACAAAGATGTTGTGTCTGCCGAAAACTAAAAAAAAATTTAAATATTAAAATTCTCTCTCTCAGAAGGGAAATAGCATGGAAATGGAACGAGACCCTTAGGTTTATACAAAATTACATACAAGAGGAAGTGAGGGGAAAGGGAAAAATAATACA